TTGGAGCCACTCTTCAAGTTTAAGAGTTCTACCACCACTGGGACAACTTTGGCTTTATGAGCCATAGTGGCACAGTGCTTAGAATACAGTATTGCAGGTTACTTCAGCTGATTGCAAGCTGCCAGCAGTTTGGTAGCTCAAGGTTGACTGAGCCTCCCATCCTTCAGAAGTTGGTAAAATGAGGACCAGATTATTGGGGGCAATATGATGACTCTGTAAACCACTTAGAGAGGGCTGTAAAGCACTGTGAAGTGGTACCCGGTAAGTCTAAGTGCTATTGCTATTTTTAGTTTCCATATCCTCACCAATTCCTCCTTCAGGCCCTGGTACTTCTTCAGCTTTTTATACTCCTTTTTAATGTTGCTGTCACTGGCACATCTATCACCACATTCAGATATTTAATATTAAGAGCACAATGCAATTTAGTCAGAAATGGGCCTATGGAATTTAATGAACCTTTCTACCTAGGATTTTGAACAGAAGTAAAAAAAAGGTATACTAGGGAAAAGAATGAAAGCATGAAGGAAAAAAATATAATTTTGATGAAAAGCACAAGAGTAATACACTAGTAATATGGGTCTGGTTTGCAAAAGTAAATATATGTATATATGTGAAAGCTTTTAAAAATTATGCTGTTAGAAGAAATATCCTTCTGGGTTCAGTTCCAAGTGGGGGAAAAGACACTGGAAACATGAAGACTGCTTGAAAAGATGGTTTAATGGTGGACAGGATCACATGGTTTGAGTTCCTGAACAGAAAAGGGGCGAGATACAGCGAGTCCCTGGGTTTTATGCTTTCTCTGGCTTTGAACTTCCTGGGGCCCCGAAAGAGTATCCTGATTGGTTGTCAGACTCCCAGGGGGTGAGGGTCTTAGCTAGCCTTGCTGGCTGATGTAATCTTCCCAGGTGCCATGTGGTGAGTTTCTGCTGCTAGATGGGTCCCATTGTGTTAGTTTCTGTTGCTAGATGGGCCCTATTTTGTATAAAATAGAACACCGCTTGGGGGGGGCCAAAAGCCCTACTAAGCAGGTATATACAAAAGTATGAAGGCTATTGCTTAAAGCATTGTAAGCCGCCCTGAATCTCTGGAGAAGGGTGGCATATAAATCGAACTAATAAATAAATAAATAAATAAATATTGTGTTGCAGATGATGATCCTTTGACAAAGGATTGAGTTTCTGCTTCTAGCCCATTGACAAAGGGTGGGGCAGGAAGGTGGGAGCTGCTTTGTCTTTAAAATATGTTTCTCCATTTCTCAACCAGGGAAATATAATATTCTGCCTTTTTAATATTTCCTAAAATATTTCATTCTTCTAGGAAAGGTGCTAACTTCCTACAATGCCTTATAAGATTTATTCTCATTTTTCTTTTATTACAACATATATTCAAAATACAATTAAGAAGAAGTATAAAAAGAAGGGGGCTGTAAAGAAATTAGAGCCAGTTTAGCGTAATGATTAAGGGACCAGGCTAAAAACTGGGAGAGTTACTTTAGGTATAAAGCCAGCTCGGTGATCATGGACCTCACTCCTCTAGAAAGGAGGCAAAGGGTCTCCTGAACATCTGGACATTCTGGACTTCTGAACATCTTGCCAAGAAAACTGCAGGGAGAGTTTTTTATACATAGAAAAGTGATTTACAAATGGCATAAAATGAAATAGAGGCAGTCCATGTTTAGCGACCACAATTGGGATTGGCAACTGGATTGTTAAGTGAAACAATAACTATGCCTATGATCTTTGCTTCACAGATCTTCAAAGGTTGTAAATTTGAGGATTGGTCATAAAGTTACTTTTTAATCAATGTTGTAACTGAATGGCATCTAAATGAGGTAGTCACTAAAGGAGGATTACCTATAATCAATATTATAGTAGCATAAAGGTGATTGTGCATTGATTTAGCAATTTAAGACCAATGTCAAAATCAAATCAATAATCAGTATTAGCCAAGACCACCAACATGCTACTAGCAATTAATAGGACTTTCAGTCTTATCTAAGGAAATCTGTCCTTATAACAAATCAGGCAAAATCTAGTATTTTAAAATCTTATGATCGGATAAGCTTTTGAATGTGGTTCAAGTCCATGTGCAGCATTAAAGTCCATAAATTACTTTCAGGTTCAATTAAATTCAGTGTCAGATTTTTTTTTAAAAAAATACAAAATTGATTGTTTTTACATTGATATGTATTCCTATAGTTTAGTTTGTTATTAAGAAGGAATTATGTGTAATTCTCAGAAAGAAATTATCTTAGTAGCTGTTATCATGGACACGGTCAGCTCTGTATATTTTGTAGGAAGGTAACTATTTTTTCTGTTAAGCCCTGCTTAACAGAAAAAAAATATTGATTCCTACACTGAATTATCTTCCAAAATTGTTGGGTTTATAACATTTATGCCAAATCTGGAAAAGTAGTTATTACATTTCCTGCATTTTTGAACATTAATTATCTATTTTGGTAATTAAAATGAGGGTGTAATACTAATTTAAAAAATGAAAAACTGGAATGTATCAGTTTTCCCTGAGTGTAATTCTTTTTTTCAAGAAATTATAGAAGAGCTGTTAAAAGTTATTGATATTTAATCAACTGATCTGTTATCTTTTCTTTAAAGGAGACTTTCATTTCATTTTACCCAGAGTACTTAAGAAATCAGGCATAAATTGTGGCACCAGCAACTAAGCTAAGCGGTCACTAAGTGGGAAATCATTTAACATTCCTGCTGGAAAAAGACAAGACTGCAATACTCAGTTTCACACTTTTGGCTTTTGTTGCCATTCTTTTATTTTGTTTGGCTTTTGTTGCCATTCTTTTGTTAGCATTCTCTTGCCATTTGGAATGCTTGAATGCCTGCTTCCTGTCTTGAATTCATCAAAAGCAATGCAATCTTGCTGACATCCTGTGATGGGGAACCATGGGCATAATATGCAAACAGGTTGAAATCTCTCTCCAATTACTCCAGTCTATGAGGTGTAGAGAGAGAGAAAAGGCAAGTGATTTCTACATGTAATCTCTCCTTTGCCTTTCCCTCTGCCAGTACAATCACATTGCTTTTGATGTGTAGAGTAGCAAACAGCTTACTCTCTTGAAATCCCTTCCTCTCCACTCTCTCTGCTCTGCAAAGGGGAAAAGGTCAAGCAAAGGAGTCATTGTATTCAGAAATCACTTGATTGATTAACTCCTTCCCCTGGCAAACATTTCAAGGGAATCCTGTAAACTTTTTCATAGCACACTCACAATTCCCAATCCCAGGCCGCCAGTGCAAAGGTATTGCTTTTGATATGTAGAAGAGAAACAGCTCATTCTTTTGCTCTCAGTTAACAATGGCAATTGGCACCATGACATCATGTGACCATACCACTTAGCAATGACAGTTTCAGTACTTCTGGTTGTGGTTATTAAATGAATCCTATGATGTGAAATATGACATCATTCACTTGCCATTTGTGACCTTCTGCTGACTCCTATGTTGAATTTTCTTGTTGGAAGCCAGCACATGATCACGAGATATTGTGATGTTGTAATTGCAAGCCAGTTGCCAAGCACCCAGAATGCAATCAAGTGACACGGGATGCTGCAAAAACCTGAACTTCAACAGCATTGTATGTAACACTCATTCAGCACATTGAACAAAATTTGAACAGCTGCTGAGTGAGTGATCATTAAGTGAAGACCACCTGTAATTGAATTTTCAGAGCATGTGATGAGTCCTCACCAAATGTCTGCCACTGGCATTATTCCCCATGCCCTCAAAAGCTACACAATGGAAACAGCCAATCACAGAACAGTTGTTTTGATTAAACTAATTCCTACTACTGAATCTCGCCCTTCTTTCCAAGTGGATTTTCAAATTTCAGCTTCTCTTAGTTATTTTTGTCTGGGTAGATGAATTATTTTTGACAAAGTACCTAATATTTTAACTTTCAAGATGTTCCTGGAAGTTGGTGCTTTGCTTAGCAATTTGGCAGGGCCCCATTTTTTATTAATTAAAAAATTCTAAATGAATTCAAGTCATATTAGGCTAAAGGTTGGCAGACATCTTGATAACTATTGGCCGCCTGGTCCTGGATTAGAAAGTGCAGAGTTTTAGGATGATCACATGAGCAGAAGAAAATGTACAATGATGAAAACATATTTCCTCACTATTGACATGCATGAAATGGTTGATACCTGTGTGTAACTTCTATCATGCAACACAATTCTGAACATTTTATAAAAAGTGGCTCCTGGTCACTCATAACTGCGTTGCAGTAATGGATTTGTATGCAAGCCTATTTCATAAAACTGAGGGTGAGGGATATTGTAATTATGGTTATTGGAGGTGATGATACATGAAGAACCTTGTTCCTACTCTTTCTGTATCGGTTTTCTGCCTATAATTTTTCTGATCTCAAACCAAGGAATGCTTAAGCTATAATTGGCCAACAACACAAGATGCCAGACCTTATCATCAGTGATTAAAGTAATTCTTTCTTTTCTTCATTTGCCTAATCTGCTGTAATCTCTGCCTGCTAATCATGGCCTCCCAAGTGTTATGAGGTGTGTCTCAGGTTGAAGATAGCTAATAGTTAACAGTGATGTTTTCTATAATAATGAAATTGCACGTGGTATCCTTTGCAAACTTCCCAAGTGTAGATTTTTTTGTCTCCTTTCTCCCTCTACAATATATTCTTTAATCCAGAGTTCCCCAACCTTTTCGCTTTGCGGACCGTCAGTGGGGGGTAGAAGGGATGGTTCCACATGAGTAGTGAGCAAGTGCACATGTACAGCTCTGTTTGCATGAGGAGTGAGTTGCTCAGCCACCATTTGTGCAAATGGAGTGTGCATGCTCCCTACTGCTCACACAAGTGGGGATGCATGTGCATGTTCACCCATTTCACAATCCGGTTCTGAACGGCTCAACACCCAGTAATGGGCCACAGCCTGGCAATTGGGGCCCCTACTTTAATCATCTTCCCTCAAGAATTAATCCTTTTTATTTCATTGCTCTTTTTATCTACAGTGAAAACCGTCGCCTGCAAGTAAACATCACCAACCCTGTCCAGTGCAGCATGCATGGGCGAAAATGCAGCATCTCAGTGAAAACCAAAATCAACCAATCAGAACCAAACTTCATCAAGGATCGGACAGGTTTCATCCTCTGGGTATCTGAGAATTAATTTTACTCTATCACTAAGCATCCTTTCACAATCTACTGATGCTTTCAATCTTAGTGCCTTGAGTTTTATGGGGGAAAGGATATGAAAGTGTTGATCTGTGACATACATCTAGACATTGTTAATGAATTGAGAATTTGAAATGCTTCCTCCATTAAGCCAACTATGATTTTAAATTATTGTATGATCCATTGTGTACCAAAGTGGCTTTTATTAATGAATTCTCCAGATATATAAAATTATTGTAGAGCTAATAGTTGAGATTGCAATGGAAGGAACCAAAAGTCTGTATGAGAATAAACAGAAGGACCCACTTTGGATTTTACAAATACCAAATCTTAATTTATAAATGGGAGATATTTGGGGGAAAGAGATTTTCCCTCTCTCCCCCCCCCCCCCCTCCCCCCATCGCCCCCAAACTCATTTCATATGTTGTAGTGGGGAAAATAGGAGAAGGGTTGAGATATGTTCACTGCCTTATTTATAAAAATAACAAAGGTGGGATACAAATCTTTAAAAATGTTTCTCATCCCCCTTTCCTTTCAATATTCAGCTTGGCTCAGATTCTCCTTCATGATTGATTGTCAGATGCTACTCCTATTGCAAACATTGGAGTCCAACGCTTGGGCCAATATATAATGTGCTTTCTTTGAGCAGCTGGCATTATTCTGGCCAGCTTAGACTTGTAGTTGCCTTTTGTTGCTTATACAGCCCTCTGCTGAGGTGTAGTTATAGCCTTGTTAACAGGGCTTTGTTTCTTCTTGTGCCAAAAGAAACATGTCTTATTTTACATTGATGGAGAGCACTTCCAGCATCTTAAAACAAGGGAGGAGATTGCTATTTTAGACCGTTTAAAGGTAAATAATTGTAAACCTGACACTGCTGGACAGGTTAGGACTTAAATAATTATAACTGCACACAGCCTAAGAATAAAGCAATGATGGTAGAGCTAATTGCTTCAGTATGCCTGCTTTTGTTTTAAGTGTGTGAAGGCAGCACTTACCATTTCTGTGAGCTGGGGCACAAAATGGCAAACAAATGTTGCTTAACTAGCTAGCTAGAAGTCCTACTTGCTTCTGAGTCATTCTTTAATATGGCTTATTTCCTAAGTAGGATTATCTGCCTCTGCCCAAGATGAGTTATTGCTTTTCTTTTCAAATTAGCTTTTCAATGAAAAGGATTGCTATCTCTACTCCTTTCTTTTCCCTTTCTTTTCCTATTCATTAGCTTAATCTTCTAGTATCTCCAAGTGCTCTTAAAAGGGCTTCTTCAATCAAGTGCCTTCCAGGTAGGGAATCTCATTCTAAACCCCCTGATTCCCAGCCAGAAACCATCTGACTGTAATTTAGGTGAAATGAAATGCAATGCAGATGGAACTTACAAGCAGAATAGGAGTTGCCCTGGAAGATCAATGTAACTGTAGAAATCTCTTCATGTGTTTTCTTCTTCGTTTCCCCAAATGCCAGCACATCCATGATGAAAAGCAAGTGGTAGAACCTAATCCTTCATTTCAACTGAAAAGCAAGCTAGCTTTTGATCAGTCCAGCTACCTAAACTGAACATTTATGATCCTATCTCTACTGCCAATAGAAAAATTGATTGCCTCAAATCCCTGGTGCCTTCAAATGTTTACTTTCAAAGCAGCCAAATTAGCCTCAGAAGTTTTAAAATTAGCACTTTTATTTAATATTCCAAAATAAAGACTGGATTTGAATGATGACCAAATTTATGAAAACTGTATGAGTTGAAATCTTTCCATACCAAGATACAAATCTATTAAATTGATTATATAATGTGTAATGAAGTATTTTGATTTAAATGAATTAACAGTATTTCTGACTTTCTTGATTTGTGTGCATGGTTGTGTGGGGGTCATACATTATTCTGTTTGATTTAACAAAGGTAGTTTCTCCTACCAAAACAGGAAGAGGAAATTCCTCCTCCTCAAGGTGCTTTGCAGAGCGCCCAGTCAACAGGGGGTATTGAGAACTGGGCAAGGGGCTCCAGAGGGAAGAAAGTCTTAAGTGTATGAACTGCTCATATGATACTGGATTCTATCTTATATGTGTATTTCTGGGTTTTATCTATAAATTAACTATTTCTTAATTGTATGCCTGATGTTTTAAGAATGAGGTAATCATGTAATTAATACTTTAAAATAGTTTGCACAGAAATATGGACACAAATCCTATTCATAATTAAGATGTATTTTTGTTTACATAATTGAAATAAAAGGACTCTCATTTATACCCAACTCCATTTACTTGATTTTGATTCTGCATTTTCTGAAATGTGTTTGACTGACTCTCCTTTCAGAGAAAAAAAAAGAAAGCAGTGTCATAATTTCAACTAATCTATGTCATTTTTGCCAACTATGGTAATAGACTTCTTCCCTATCAACACCTATATTACATGATCCATTATTTTAAAAAATATAATCTCCTGGTTTTATTGATATTTAAATCCTGAGATCTCCAGGCAGTTGGTTAAGATAAATATCTACTTTGTGACTTGAGTGTGTACTCTTGCTTAAGGTATAGCATCTGAGAGACTACATCTATGAATCAAAGTAACTGACTCAGTTTTAAGATCACATTGGTTGAAACTTGTCACGTGTCAAGGTAAATTCAACTGTTTTTCCAAAGCTACATTTATCAGTTTTTCATTATCATCTTCCCACCATAGACAGAAGCTTTTAAAAAATTCCTCTGAAATTCATTTGTGTCATGGATGGTCAGTGCATTTTATTTTTAATCAGCACAGTACAAAAATAAATAAAAATAGGGAGGCATTAAGTTACAGGCACACACAGCTCTTTGACAGTCTTGTCATATTTATAAACCTCATACTTAGAAACACACTATAGTACACATACATACAAAAGACCATTTATAAATTAAGTAATAATAAGCAATAATACCAATTTTGGTCAACAAATATCTACAGAAGGGATTGCACACTAAAAAAAAAATATCCAAAAACTTTAACATACATAGACATATAGAATTTAGCAGATCCTGTTTTCTTTTCTCCCACTTCCAAAATGTTCAAAAAAATGTGTTCAAGTGGAAAAAAAAATGGCACACATTTTCTTGTGTTTTTTTCCTTTGAGAAAAATAGTTTAGAACAGAGCTAAACATTAAGAACTGTGTACAATTAATATCAGAAAATATCTAGAAGTCTTGAGATGAAATACATTGATTTCAAAAAATGAAAGTATGGATGAAAGCAGTAAATCTGTTTGAAATTTGTGCATGGTGAGTTATTGTGTTTCTATTTTTTTTTTCTTTTTACAATCAACTCTTCTAAAGTTTTGCCTGCTGTCAAAAGTCACAATGCTGCTTTTGGCATGCACAGTATTACTGTAAAGCAATAATGGAATGATAGAAAAGGATTAGGTTTTCTTTTTCCTCTCGCCATAAGCATAAATTTTGTTCTGAAATTATTCATTTCATACAGCAGCATATTAAAGACTCAGTCTTTGCTCTTCTATATCAAGTACGTCAGTTGACCTTTTCCCCCCCACTATAAAACAGTAAATATATAGGTTCAAGCAAAGATAGTTTTGCACATCAATTATACCACCAAGTCACATTTGCTTCCCATGCAGTGCAATCTAAAGCACACCTACTCAGAAATAAGTTGTGTTCAAGGAATCAGACTTATTTCCATGTAAACATGCAAAGGATTGCAGCTTTAAGCTTTCATATCCATATGAGTACAACTGTAATTTGCCTTTATTATATAGTCTTCATTAAAAAGGAGAGGAAGGGCAAAAAGATTTGCTGCCATTTGGAACAACCAAGGGAATGATGTCTTCAAACACATTCCAGAATTTTGTCTGAGCCACTACTGTAAAGTATTCCAGAACTCAGCCATAATACTGAATGAGAAACTGGGGTCTCCAAGGGAAACTGATATGATGATAGATGCCACCCATTACAGAGAAGCAAATGGTTTGCAGGGAAGAACTGTAGAGGAGCCCTCCCTTCCTCTTTAATGCTAAGGCTCAGTTTTCCTTTACAAACTCAGCAGCAAGCTTAACAGTATCTCACTGCTTAATGGCTCAGATTTTGGCCTAGCTTTTGAGGCAGTGGCAAGACCTGCTGAACAAACCCAGCAGCTGTTTAATCATCACAACATATGCATTTGGTTCCAGTCTACTGCAGCCTCTTAGCTTTGGCCTTTTCATATTTCACAGCTTTTAATGTTCCTCTGTATTTTTAATAGTGCTTTGCTGTTTTCTAAATTAATTGCAAGCTACCCTATTTAAAGACACAATATAGTTCTCCCTCTGCCTTTCTGCTGGAATGCCAGCATCCTCAGCAGTAGCATTAGAAGAGCCTTCTAGAATATTTCTAACTTATCCTTTTATCCACAGCCTTCTTTACCCCAGAGTATTATTGCCTTTATACTATTTAACTGTCCAGCTTGTGAGAACTTAAAACAGTGAAGGAGATTACCTCCATTCAAAAAGTTCACATCTTCCACAGAACCCTAGATCTGGACTATTGACATTTAATACATATTATTAGTAACTGAGGGAAATTTAGTCTCCACACTACCCTTTCTTTTTATATATTTTGACTATCCCTGAAGATTAGAGTATTTTAACCTTTACATATTGTTTAGGAACTAGAGAACTAAACAAAATAAATATCTAAGCATCAAAATTGAACATTAATCAAATATTTAGATGTTCAGTGTGGGGAAAAATATTTAAATTCTTAGATGTTCACATATAATTATAAGTCTACAAGGTGGAAGAGAATGTCTCCAAGCATGGGAACAGATTTGTGGCCCAAAAAGAACCTTCTGCAATATCACTCTACAAAATATACAAAATACCTGAATATTTTGTATCTGCTGCAGGTTTAGATTACAACTTATCTTCACTCACAGTCCTCAACACTATAATAGAAGGGAAACCTTTTATTATAATTCAGTGGATTTCCTTGTTCTACTTATTGTGGCTGTTACTATTTTTCATAAAGTATGAAGAGTTTTGGTTGGCTAAACACACATGAACAGTACTGTTCTGGCTGGGACTGCAAGGAACCCCCCCTTAAAAGAAAAGCATTTCTACAATGAAATTCAGCACCATTTCCTATATTTAATAACATATGCCTAGCATTTTTCAATAAATAATTGAATTGGGGAACATTATTGCAGATGCTCAGAAAAATCTCAAGGGACTGAAAGTCAGCTTGTTGGAACAGCAAAATTATATTATGCAAATATCACCCCTCAAAAGAATTAACCATTTTTGACCAGTCAAATATTAACATACATCACTTGCCACAAATCAATTACCAGCTAGTACCAATTGCCTGGGATTATTTTGAAATCTCACCTCCCAATCCATATTGAGGCTTATATCTACCTTAGCAAGAAAAGATTGTCAAGTCTCATCTTCACCTTTTGATACTGATATTAGAAAAAACCTACAGAGCCAAGGTAAAAGGCCCCCAATGAAATGGGTGCAAGTGGCGATATACACAAAATGAGGTGTGTCTCTTGTATATTTTCTGACTTTTCCTTACCCACTTGTTTCTCAATATAATCACACTGTCGTGGAGTAAGAGTCCCTTTTGAAGGCCAGTACTGAGATGATGTCATCTTGTTGAAACTATTTTTTACTATTTTTTAAAATCCATTCTTGGATCTTGGATCCCTTTTCTAGAATACCAGGTGCTAGAACATCTACTAGATTTGCTCTTTATCTTCTTAAGAATTGTAAATATGTTCCTCCACTGCCTTCCACTGAGAAGAAGTAAATCCTGCAAGCTAGTTCACCCCAATTCGCAAAGTGTTTAGGACAAATGAAAGGTGAAAGGATGCCATGATCCTGTATTGTGGTGCTTGCTTCTCCACTCTATTTTTCCCTCTCCTGGTTTACAATCTGGAAAAGAAGCCATTTCCATCACATGCAGCAAAACTGAAAACCAAACAGGCAAACCCATTTCATTTCTTGTCAGTTTTGATTGATAGAAGCCAAAGTAATAATGGTTGAGACCCGCTGATTTCTTTCAGGCCTGTCCAGTCTTACCTATGTGTCCTGGCTTATATGGAAAAGAAACATAACATAAAAACAAGATTAAACGAAAGGGTGAATGATGGGGAATTTTAGCTCACCGATCCAGGCCAATGAGCAACCGGTTCTTCTCTTCTTGGCTGCTCTCATTCTTCAGGTCAGCAAAGACCTGAGTGAAATAGTGTGGGTCAGCATTGATTTGCAACATTTTGGGACTCATGAGGTTGATGATGGAGAGGCAACGATCCCAAAATGCCTCTTTACAACTCTCTACCAGAAAGGGTTTGAGAGGGTAGGAGATCTCATTGCCCATATAGGAATAGGAGAGATAGAGGCAGGTAAGTAGGACAGCCTGAAGATCATGGTCCGTGGCTACTTCAGATGAAATGACATCCCGGCAAAGCATATACAAAAAGACCACATTGGCTGGAGTGATGAAACCTTGGTCTTGCCAGCCTTGCAGGAGGAGAGATCGGTCCACACTTCTAAGCCACAGTACTGGGTCGGTGGGGGAAAGGTGCTTCAGCCTGTAGCAGCGTCTACAAAGGAATGCCCCCAAGCATCTTAGCAGCTCACTGGTTGAGGCTTGAACAAGGACCCTTTTGGGGGTGCCAGATGAGTTGCAGCTGGGGTGGGGTGTTTTCTTGACAGAAGAAACGGTGCCCTTGGAGCTGGAAATCTGGTGATTTGTAGGCTGATTGCCCTGGTTCTGGGCAAAGGTGGAGAGATTGGCACAGGAAAGTGATTTCTTTAGATTCTCATTGTTGAGGTGTGTAATGTTGTTCTGATAACTGCTGTTGGGCTGCACCTTCTTGGAGTTTTTCTTTTTGGCAGATACAGCTGCGATGCGTTTCCAAGGAAGCACTGAAATGATAGAGTGGCGCTTCAGGCTCTTATCCTTGGCATTCTTACTGTTCTGGACTGCAGTATAATGCCCCACTGTGGTTGAACCATCCTCAGAGAGGGTGGCTTTCCGGTAACTGGGTGAAAGGCTCAAGACAGTGCCCATGGTGCACGGGCAGCGGGGAGCAGAACAAAGTGGACAGAGCTGGGTGCTGACACCACCAGGGCACGGGGGGTCTCTGCTTCAACCCTGCTGGCTCTCCTTTCCGTCACTGCCTCAAATAGCTTGGATTCAGAAGTTACCTACCAAAGGCAAAAACGATTCCAATAAGCCCAGGCTGGGGTTGTTTTCTCCCAGATATACAACCCCCTGCTTT